TTAAGGCAAGTCCAGCTTGTCTATAAAGTGAATCTTAGACCAGACGTGTTATTTACCTCCAAAGATAACAGGATTATTTCATCTTTATATTCTTTCATATTTAAGAATTCAAATTCTAACAAATTTACTGCTGTATTAATTGACTGTCACAAATGTGACACTTTATGACCATGTCTGTTTTGAATAAAATCATGTATTACCATGTAAATGCAAATGAACAATTGCACATTATAAAACCTCTAGGTATAAAAATGGTTCAAATATTCTTTAAAACACTCTGCATTAGAGTTCCAAAATCTTTTAAATACACTGTATAGGATAAAACTTAAGATAAATGTGCTGCAATTTAAATTGATATCAAAGTTAAATTAGGCATTATAAATTTGATATTAATAAAAAAAAAATGAAAAAAAAATAAGAAAGAATTATTCAACCTACCACACTATGAAAGTTCACTTGTCACAAAATCAAATTTGATCCCTATAGTTATAATAAATCATAGACAGACTTGCCAAATTAATTTAGGACTGTGCAATCATAGTTAGCTACACCAACCACACAAAAATCCACTATGATTATCGCATTTCTTCTCAATTATAACCATTATTTGCATCCATTTTTTTCCCCTCATGCTGTGCAAGCATGAGAATGCAAAGTGAAATGTATACCTAAAAAAAATCACTGTAGATTTTTTCCAATTATAAACACAGAACATTAAGATGTGTTCCTTCACAACAAAAGCCAAGCAGGGATAGACTAATCAATAATTAAAACATTAACCAGCAAAAAGCATTGTTTCTTTCTCCACAGAAAAAAAAGCCAGGAGTGATTTGCTTAATGTACAAGATAATTTTTGTTTATTTTTATGTCTTGCATCAGGAAATGTCTGTTTGAGAATGCAAAATCCTTGGATCTAAAATCAGCCCACTGTTTGGATTGTCGTCATGGCAACAGTTGCATTTCATCCTGCAGGTCAACTTTTCATGCTCGGTCTTATAAGTGTGATGGAGGAAGACTTTGGAATATCGGAAAAGCTTTGTGGGGCCAATAATTTCCTGAAGATAATTATCATGCAATGTCTTCAATACCATGTTCAATTTTACAAGTATTTAATGCCTTCAAGGCAAGGAATGTGGATAATATACAAGTAGTATTTCCTCCTAAAGCATTTGATTGTGAAATTAAGTGGTTTCTTGACAATTATCAAGACTCCATTGATTATTTTGCACACATTGAATGATGACAGATTAGCTTTATCTATTTTAACTTCTATGATGAATTTTCATATTTCTCAAACATACAGTAAGTCAGTTGTACCTAGATGCAGGTATTCATATGTATTCATATGTACATGACTATACATGCATGTACATGGATTGATCGATGCACCATGAAATAATTAAACCACAAGAGATGCTGCTTCAAATTATAGGCAGGGGCTGTTTTACTAAAAAAAAATATACGCCAAGGACTATGCAAAGTTTTTAGAATTTGCTTGCATCTTCACTATCCACTCCTCTTGGCTTAGGTGAAGATGTATTGGATGAGGATTTCCAATCATTGAATTATTCTAAAAATTTTACGCTCAGACTTCCTGCAATCTTACCAAAAAGAATTTTTTCCCATTTTTTATTAGCTTAACTCTCTGTACTCACTTAAATAAATTGTATATGTCATGTATATCATAAACTGATTTTCATTACCCAAATATTGATAGCTAACATTTAAAATACAAATGACATTAGATCAAAACAATTTCTCACCTCAAATGGGATTAACACAAATGATGAGTGTTTAATATATGTTTTTCACCAAAAAAACAATAACTCATTCACGTTTTAAGAGCATTATTGAATTAATCCATTACACAAAATGTGTTCTTGTGACACCACACTATCGAGACTTTAGCTCCTAGAATTCATTAGGAACCATCTACAGTATAAACATGATAAACAGAGGAATTAGGGCCCAGGCAATTACCCAAACTGAGATCATCTTCTATCTGACAGAAATTAGATAAAAGCATTACCCAGGCCATTAACGGTCAGTGGTCAACTAATAGCTCGGGATTTATATTCAAAAGTCCCCTGTCAAGCTCTCAAACACAGATTAAATGCATACAGCTAATAGATTATCATTGGGTAAGTAAATGACATACTCTCTTGGCAACAGCAGAAGAATTTTACGTATATCTTGGTGGGTGGGTTCACAAAAAAATCAGGAACGTAATCCCATTTTTAAATCAACCCACTGTATATTATTAACTGCGAAACTGAAGCTAACCTGCAAGTTAAATAACAAATAATACATAATAAAATTATTTTAAATTCTTTTAAAAATTTTAAAATTAGATGCTATTCTAAATTTTACTGATATATAATTTTACTTCCAACAGTTTGGACTGTGGCATCATTAATTCCCTTTTTCACTAAATTGCAAGTCATTATGTTTTTCTAATGTGCATTCCCCCCCCCCCCCCCCCCCCCAAAAAAAATGAAATAAAAGCCTTTGTGAATCAAATCAATGGTCTTCCCCTTACCATTTCAGAAGGTTGAAAAAAAAACTTTGATTAATTTTAGAATGCATGTGTACCCACACAATGTAGTTAGTGGGAGCCTAAGGTACATCACTCAGTACCAGGATTGAGTTCCAGTCTGACTGACACCTTCTCCCCCAACCAGCCCCTCCAATTATGCTGGAAAACCTCAAGGAAAGGGAGGGAAAGTGTAATGGTTTGTGTGTATGGCTCAGTGTTGAAATATCTCCACGTGGTTGGTTAGGGAGGTTCCTTAGGTTTAAAATGATCCACTATTTTGGCTCATGACACTTTCCTCTCCTGTTATAATTGTGAGTAATATGCCCTCTAGCCCCTCCCTCACCCCCCCCCTTTTTAGAACATGATATGGCCATGGCCAGTTCAAGAATGTGACTTTAGTATTTTGGAGATAAATAAAAAAGGTGGGATCTTGGCTGGTCTGGGGAAGCTGGGTGGTAAGAGGGAAAATAGGGAATCAAGTTAACATTTAACAGTTTATTTGAGGGAAGAGAAGATGGAAGGACATGATGGGAACTAGGAGGAGGGTACTAATCTCTGATCACTCTACATCTAAGAGTCTCGTTGCTAATTTTTTATTCTGAGTTGCCTCTGGCTCTGAACTTTTCCACATTTTCCATAATATAAGGAGTGGGACTTGTTTCCCATAATTTCCCTCTCATGATTGTAGGTAAACAAAATATATTAAAGTGAAATTAAAAATAATAGTGTTTAACCTGCTCTGTAACAAACCTTACCATTTCATGATTTTGGTAATGATTCTACACTCGTTCAGCCCTGCATTTCGTGGTTCAGCGGAAAAAAAATGCTCTCACAAGGGAGGTTACTCTAAATTCAGTTGAGGCAAGCAGAGCGACAATGCACCAATATTATGAATATTTTTTTTCTTTCCATAGAGGCGTTTCGAATATTAAAAGCCCATGAATTTTAAAAGCTGCTTCCTACTTGGAATTACTAATTAGCAAAGAATTTGAAACTGTTATTGTAAACTTAGTGACAGATTAAAAGCGACCCAGCCTTCAATTATTTCAGTCCTCGGATTAGCAGCGGATTAAACTGAGAAGTCACAGATCGTATATTAAGGTAACCACAGAAAAAAAAAAACAAAATCAAAACATTCCACTACAGTAATTCATTAAGAAAAAAATCAACACGTGTAAGATCAAACACGTGCATCCCGATCTTCTAGCCTTAAAAAAATTGAGAGAGAGAGAGAGAGGGAGAGAGAGAAGTAGGCCTGCTTGAACAGAAAGAACTTACCCTGAAAATTAACAAATTACAGAAAATCGATTGTGTCCTATGTAATCCTAGTCCCCATTGGAATAAAAAAAATATTTCCACAGATCATAGAATAGTAAAATTCACAAATAATATTTCTCAAGATCCCCCAGAATCTTCAAGAACACACGCCTCAATCTTTCATCTATGAAGGAAAACGTTCCAGGGTGTTAAATCAAACATTCCTACAAGATCCCGCGTATCGCGGATTCTAAATGCCGGGCATTTAATACAAACTGGTTATATCTCCGACAATAAATAGAGATTGATTTATTCCACTCGTTTTTGTGTATTGTTAGATCGAGATTCGAAGGATTTTGTATTCGTATTGGTATATTGGCAAGTACTGTCACTTGTCTTGCGGTTTGCCTTGCGTCCTATTTGGAACTGTCTCATAATACCGGATAAAATGAACTGCACAGGTATATATTTAGATTATTCTTGACTAAATGTGCAAGAACTTTTTTTTATTTTCTGAGTCTCTGTTGATCTACCTCATATAATTATATCCCATGTATGAATAAAGCAATCAAATTAAAATTTATTGTGAAAAAAGATCTGAACTTTTCCTTGATCCCGAAAAATAAAAAATAAAAGAAAGAGAAACGTAAAGAGAAAGGAAACTGTAAAGAATGCCTTCAAAGATTAATTATCTATTTTTAGCCAGCTCATTATAGTAAAGAATAATTAAAACGAACGCCCCTATATAAAGAATTTATCTACATTTCACCTGTAAATGTCAAAATTTCTCACGAACACTAACATTGGTACAAATACAACATTAAAAAAAAATCTATTATAAAGAAAGAAATAAATGAACTAGGAACAAAATATTCTCTGTAAGAAATCTGTTAAACCGACTAAAGACCCCCCCCCCCCTCCATTTTCTTCTTTCACAAAACTTACAATAATCGCTGCATCTTCATACATCGAGAAATCAAAATGATACATCTGACATTTTGTAAGGATACCAACTCCAATTTTATGAGTAAATACCCATCTTAGCAGCACATATCAAAATAAATTATTTGTATACACAGTATTTCACTGCATGCGCAATATTTACGTGTACATATTGTACACAATTCTCAATAAAAATATTTACCATAGTATTTATGTGATGCTTTCTATCTCAAAATCTGAGATGCTTAAGATTGTTAATTTTTACCTGTCACTAATAGAAAAATCGGACATGCGTCTGCACACCCCCGAATTACATAGATCCTCCTGAGAGTCGGACAATTCACAGGAGCCGTGATAAGAACTAGTATCGTCACAAGAATCTACCCCGAACTCATCTCCCGAGTTATCGCTGACGTCATAATCCAAACTCATGTTTGAAGCGTTTTCTTGATTATCCAACACAGAGAGTCAGTATACACAGCTCCAAATCCAGTATTTTCAATGCAAAATGACAAACATGAAGAAAAAAAGTATTAAACTGTTATTGTAATTTACTTGGGAGCTTGTAGCTGGGTATCAAATAAAACCCGTGTTAAATTAGCCCAGGAACATCGGTCATCCAACAAATCAATATGTATATATTTATCATAATTGTCCACAGGGACAAAACGCTGGACACAGGTTCATCTTTCGTGGAATAAATTTACAATTATAATGAGACCGTCTATAGTAGTCCAAATGATGACAAACTAAATGCTATTTCGGTCATCATGTGTCATGATTAACAGTGCACATCCGCACGACAGCTGACAGCCCGGGGGTGAAGCGTGGACAACTTTTACGATGCGGTCATCAACCGTCTGACTTGATGGTCAGACTAAATGCAGATGACACGAAAACAAGAATCAACACAGAGAAAAGGGGGAAAAACCCGGCCCCCCCGGATGATGACGTCAAGTATCCCTTAAAGCAAAGTCCATAAAAGTTCAACGTTGATTGGACAGAATGCTCTGCAGTTTCATCTATCATGTTGCCTCCCGCAGGCCATTAACTATTTTATAATCTAGAAATATAAACTGTGCAGTTTGCACCTTCAAACCTTAATAGGAAAAGATAACGTGCCAGAATCATTTTCCGGAAAACAAAATCGTCTTTAGCTTGTTTAGACAAGACCTGTTGGGGGACGTCAATTATACCACCTGATGAAGATTTAGCGCTTAATCAATCAAACATAATCAGATTGTATTGACTTGATGTGTATGAACCTAATTAGACTTTATACCCTGTATGAGAAAAAAGATTAGTTTTGCCCTCAGAATAGAACAAGTACCTGTTTATCTGCACCTAAGATGCAACTTGATGAATGTCAAAATCATTAAAAATGCATTGAAAGTCACTTTGGCTCAAAAACACTGTACTTATTGTACATAAAATGTCGTTTGTTTTACTAATGAGAAAAAATAAATCAGGATGTATACATTTCTATATCAACCTGTGTCAATCGTAAATATAATATTTATCATTCATTATCCAAACAAAAAACAAAACAAAACAAAAAAAACAAAACAAAAAAAACATTTTATCTATCGATCGAGATATTGCAATCTGAATTCTTTGTGTGCCGTCGTAAGATATATATATTAGAGTAACTTTACCTCATGCATGGTACATGTTGAAAGTGATCTTGCACAAATATACATGCGGAGTACAAGAATATTATCAGATACAGGAAAAATCCAAACTTTATTCAAATAAATAAGTAAATGAAAAGACATGAGGACCAAGCAATACCCCCCCCCCCCCCCTTGGATGCTGAAGTATGATACAAGGACATGCGCGAATCTAGAGGTGGTCGGGGGGGGGGGGGGGGGCGTCCGGACCACTCTGGAATTTGCAATTATTAAAAGTATATAATGAAGCAAATGAAAAATGACTGGACCCCCTGAAAACGTGGACTCCTCCATCACCACCACGAAATAGGTCTTTTTCACGTTTTGGAAATGGATTGTAGGTTTTCGTTTTTTTTTGTTTTTTTTTTTTTGGTCAAGAAATTACTGGGTTGGAATTTTTTTTTGACTTGGTTGGACCCCCCCCCCCCCTGGAAAAAATTCCTGGATCCGCGCCTGCAAGGATGACATTCACACGATGTACTACACGTATTCAATATGGAGCCCCACCCAAACATAAGTATGCTCTTAGTATTTGAGGACTGACAAACTACATTCACCTCCTGAAAACCCACGTACACATCAAACAAGACTGTATCAGTTATCTTTCTTATGCCTAGTACTTGCTATTTGAGCTTAAGGACCCTCTATACTCTCAAGATTTTTTTTTTTGGGACATTGAGGAAATTATAGTGTGTAAATGTGTAAATACTGAGCTTATCTATTACATCAACATATGGTACCTTGCATTTACACCCAGGAAAAAATGTTCTAAATTGATAGATCTATTCAGGTGAATTTCCTTGACATACCAAAAAATTTAAATTTAAAATACATGAGAATAGATATATTTCTCTTTTTCAAAAAAAAAAAAATCCTTTTTTGTGGGTTGTCATGTAAAATGTTTAATATGCTTAATTCCATATCCAAAAATCCCACATCATGCAAACGTAAACAAAATCATTCTCTACACTATCACGTGCATTGTAAGACGATTATTAGTGGAAGCGATCGAAGCAGAAATCTATAAAACTCACCGACGACGGGTAAACCTGTAAAACAAATCATCAGACAATTTTAATCTTCCTACATATGTTTTTATTTTTAAGTTTATTCAGCAAAGTTCTTAAATGGAATTAGATCGGAAAGGAAAAACTTATTTTGGACCACTGAACCTCCCAAGAGTGTTGAACAGTTTTGGTCCCGTCTCCACTTAGATAAATATGGGATTCAACAGTTACATTATAATCACAGATGCTTGGGGACGGGACACCCACCCACCACTCCCCAGTGTTCCGTACCCCAAGGGTTCTTTGACTTTTTTTTATATAAAATATTTTTCTAATCAGAGAGTATGGATTTTTATAAAAGTCTAGTTTTAGGTTATATTTTGGATTTTTCAGATGTAATACTTTGTGAACGTGGCATAGAAAAATATTTTATATAAAAAAAAAAGTCAAAGAACCCTTGGGGTACGGAACACGGGGAGGGGGTGGGGGTGGGTTCCCTTCTCCAAGCACCTATGATTATAATTAGCTTGTTACAGAGTGAGACATTCGGAAAAAAGACTTCCATGTGTCTCTTGGAACTAGTTGTTGGAAAAAAAAAACACTGTACAGCTTCTAAATTATATCGTGGACGCACTTGACATTCCTTCAAACTTTAGTTTAATTTGTGTGAATGAATTTCACACGAAATGGTTACATAGAAAAACAGGGAGTGTTTGAGTGCGGCCCTCTCGGTCTTTCAAAAAAAAAAAAAAGAAGTTGCATCGTATGACAGAGAGGTGTTGGAAACATTATTACTGTCCCACATTCGAATGTTTCGTATACTGTCCACAAACTTGTACAATTCATGTTCGGGAAAAACAGGCTAGGTAGACCATCAAATTACACTTAAACTGTTTAATTATACATTAATGGAATTTAAAAATTGCTTTAAAACTAAAATGGTTACTTTTAACTTACCGTTTTCTAACCCACTTGAACATTTTTCAGTCTTCTTTTGATGTACCTTTCGTCATAAACATTCCATAGTTTTTGTGTACAATGTGCGTTTCTTCACCAAAGTCTGCAGTATTCCACTAAACGTCGTAAAGCCAGCCAATTATCGCTAAAACCAAAGGCTCGCCTTGTACGTCAACACAATGACCGTCCATTCCCAAAACCCTTAAACTTTCCCGGCTAAGACCGTTATATTTTCCGGTGGTATCTCTCTACAACCAAGATCCCTGCTACATTGCACTTTATCCTAAAGCCTAATACAGAGAAGGTGAAATATGTGTCCAGGCCATCAGAACAATTCGACCTTTCTTCCCTCTATCTGGGAACTCCCCACTTTTCCGAATGACGACTTTTTCGGCCTCTGCTGTTGACTTGGAAACTTTACGATGACTAACACGCTACATTTCCTTTATATGAAACCTTGATAATGATCTAGTATTCCACCCGGGCTCTTTATAAAATACCCAACAATTAGAAAGAAGTTCTACGCTTGAATTCCTTCCTTCCTATTAAAATATTTTGATAGAAAACCGACAAAAATACGAAGTGGCATTAAAGTAGTGTCCGCTTACGACACATCACATTAAATCCTCGATGAAAATATTTTGGCAAAGGATTCACTGTCTGTGCAATAAATCAGCTCCACTTGTATAGTAAAAAGATATAAAACAACAATAAATAATTTCATAAATCCATTACGACTTTGCCGAAGCACCTGTTTGTGTTATCTACTTTCTCTACAGGTATACACAATGCAATCGTCACATAGGGTTTAACTCTTACCACAGTGTGGACAACGGCTAAACATTTTTGTTCGCAGTGTCATGCTTGTATATTTTTGTGTATCTGCAATAAAATTTCTGTTTATGATAAAAGGAGACGACGCGAGCGTAATCCGTTCGGACACGGACTGTCGACGACCCCTTGCCCCGAGTGAGCGACAACACTTGTTGCTAACAATGAAAGAGGGCCTTTAGACACCTTTGTCATGCTCCAACATCTGCCTCTATAAGTACAATTTTCTGCCATATCCTTATAATCACTAAGACACAGAGAAAAAGTGCACTTAAGACGATATACGATAACAATGCCCAGCTCTAGGTTTGTGGTAACAGCTTGACCGTTTGAATAATTAATGAACTCAACAACCATTTGAATTGCACTGGCTGGAAAAAAGAAACATGTCCATCTGACCTACCCCCCCCCCCCCCCCCAAAAAAAAAATCGGTAAAGAAAACTCATTAATTGAGACACGCACAGATCCCACATTCCAAAGTACAATTACATGTATTTTAGAGGAACAGCTCTTTGAAGTCTTCCAGGGACACGCACACAGAACGCAGTCTCCAAGATATGAACATAACCCAGCATCAGTTAGAAACATGCATACAAATATGAGCCTAGTAGTTTGCTTGTTTGTTTGTTGTTTAACGTCCCTCTCGAGAATTTTTCACTCAGTGATATGGAGACGCCCTCACTTGCCGATGGAGGGCTGCAAATTTATAACCTATACTCGGCACTCCTGGCCACTGAGCTTAATTGAATGATCTTTTCCTTGCCAACACCTACTGCGACACAAGACCTCGGTTTATAGGGCCTCATCCGAAGGACCGGTCTCCACGTCCCGCAGTGGATTCAAACCCGCGACGCAAGGATCAGCTTCTTACCCCGCGACTCTAGAGCAGATGCTCTAACCACTGCGCCATGCGGGCGACGAGCCTTGTAGTGAAATACTTATCCATGTGTACAAAAGGGAACCCTTCTTGAATAACCCAGTTTGTAGAAACACAAGTCTGTTTCAGAACCGACAGGATAGGCTATAAATACCTCTTCTTATTCTAACATCATCAGCAAACTTTTTGTTTCTAAAGCCCTTAGAAATCTAGTATTAGTACCATTTCAACCATTTTCTAGTCATGACACTGTGTCCCATTGTTCAACGCCTACCATTCTTATATAAAAATTTCTTTTTCGTAACTTTCAAAATGGATTGTTTCTGCTTATGGTCAGTGCAACAGATATTTTCACCTAGAGAACATTCATAGATTCCGAATCGCACTGACAGTATTAATTACACTTCAAAGGAAACAAACCAACCATTCTGATTCTAAAGAAAGCGAACAAAGCGGAAAAAAGACCAGCGATGCAGAATACATGTATGTCTGATTGTAGTTTTATCATATCATTTCATATCACACACAAAAGAATTTAAAAAAAAAATTAGCACTTGATTGAAGTCATTATAGAAGCTACAAAGTCAACACAGACACCGAAGTGCCTAACATTAAGGCAAAAGAAAAAAAAATTACTCTTTAGTTTCTCAGGCACCGCCACATCAGGTCAAACACTGCCGCATTGATAAATGAAAAGGGGAATAACTCAATTTTCTATTTTTCCAAGTTCAAAATTTTTTTATACATGCTAGAATGAACGTTGTATACATGTATCTATCTTATTTTATAAATTAGGCCTTTAGTACTTTTTATAAAAAAAAAAATTAGATAAATCTGAGTACATAAATGTATTATATTTAAGAGTACAATAAAGTAAGAATCAGTTGATATCATCATTTTGTTGTCCGATCAGGAAAAAGAAATGAAAATAAAACCTGTCTACCACATTTAATTTGAATTTTCTTGATCTGAGAAACAAAAGATTATTTTTTCCCCCCTAAATATTACATATAAATCTTACATACATTCTTTGAGAGAAAAAAAAATGGAAAAAAAATAGTCTCATTTATTAATTTAAAATTACCTGATTATTGAGTTCAATAAATCATAAAATTTCACTTAATTATTAAAATCTAATTTCTTCTTTTGAAATACACTATATCCTCTGGCATGAGTTTCATTTCATTTTTAATTTACATTAAAAAAAAACAACAATGTTCAAAATACTAGCAGTTATACTTATTAATATTGAGGACCTATGCAGAAGTTTGTATTCAAACACTTTTAAAGTTTACATGTTTTTAAAGAAATGTCAGTCACACATTCAGCTCTTTCTCTTATTCTCACACACAGACTATTTACAATGTGTTTTATGGTCAGTTCAAATTTACAATAAGTGAGAAAAATGATTACCCACAAGTATGTCCTTATAACTCAAGAATTAAAACATATGTCTGTGGGAAAAAATCATTTGTAAGTTTTCAAAGGAAAACTCAAGAATTAAAACATGATATGTCTCTGTGGGAAAAATCATTTGTAAGTTTTCAAAGGAAAAGAATTTCAATTCCTGAAGAATGCAATTGTTACAGATTTTATTTTTTTTAAAAATCAAATTTAAAAATGCAATCTATTCAAAATATTTTTTTCTGCACACAGTAGAAAATATTATTATAAGTACTATGTTTGAAATGAAATAAGCAAAGACTTGAAATGAAATTTACAACTTTTTCTTACAGGTAAATCAACTTTCCAGGAAGTTACATTAAGCACTAACAGAAATAAACCATCTTGTCAACCAAATATACAGTTGTACATAGATGACCAATAAAAACGTAGAAAAATATAGGTCTTCAATTACTGGAAAAAATATACTTAATGTATGACAAAAATCAAGAAATGCAAAGACATTAACAAGCGGTAGTACCATTTTACATGTACCTCAAGATTTTTCAGGACAACATAATGAGAACAGGATCACATTGCATCATAATATTTGTAAAATATCTGAATTTTAGTTTACTGTTTCCATTATCTGACAGTACACCACAGCAATGCCATGAAATCACTAACATTTGTGGGAATTTTTGTTGTTTTAGTGGTATGAAGAGGCCGACAAATCATGCCCTCCAAGAAATGTTAAAATCTACACAATATTACACTTCTACAGCCATGAAATCAAATCTCCTCTAACCATTTTTCCCTAAAAACCATAAAAATTTGCCCCCACAAAATTAAGTGTTTTTAAAGTATTCTACCATACAAATATTTTTTTCCAAAAAAATTTTAAATTAAAAAAATTTTTAACTTTAAAGGTGGCCAACTTCAAATATTCTGTTACAATGTAACATAACACAGAACCTAGAAATTTCTTCAAAATGGTTACAATCTCGGGATTTAATAAGAATTTATACTTGCAACAATGTAAAATAAGCAATATGAAGACATATCAAAAGTTGTACTTAACTATGACAAATGGTGTTGAGCTTGACGGGATGTGCAAGTAAACTTTGCCTAAAGCTGGAATATTTAAAACAACTTCAATTCAATATCTGATGACTGTTGTTGTTCAAATTCTTTAAAAATTAAACAAATTCTCACAAACCATCTCAGTTTTAATTTTTAAAGGCATTTCTCTTTTCTTGAGATCAATGAAAAATAAACCACATCATTCATAATTTACATGTATATACATAAACTATATATACAGTTTTGTACATGTTCATATTTGTCCACCTGCAAATTGAATTCTAATTTTACAAACAAAAAAAATTTTAACACTTAAAAAAAAAAAAAAAGCAAAAAACATACAGACATATAAATGGAAGGTACCACCTGGGTGGCACCTCATGTATTTCACTATCACTAGATAAGGGTTCTGATCTAAAAATTTCAAAGACTAAAACAAAAAAAAAAATTTACCATTTACTAAACAATAATTACATGTATTGAAAACATTCCAAAATTTACATTAAATTTCAGAACAAAAGTACATGTACAACCATTATACATATTTAAAAATATGATTTTTTTTTGGTTTCTATTAACAAATAAGACACATAATTCAACATGTGTATTTAAATATGCTGCTATTACTTTTTTTTTCCTTCAAAAAATATAATCTAGTACATTATCAATATTAGGTCTCAATAGTTAGAATCTATCAAAAATCTTGTGCTATGACCCAAATCAGCCTACATTTGAAGCACCAATACCCCATGTACGGTTGACAAGACATGAATAAATGAAGAAACATTACATGACAATATAATTGTGACATATGAAAGACGATAAGAATGTGAATCAATGTTTACATCATCGGGAGGAAATGTGCTATTTATATCCTGTAGGTTCTTCCTGTGGTATCCTCACTCCCAGACTGGGCAGGTACTTTAGGCCTCATTGTCAAATCGTTGATAATTGTCATCTTTCATCAGTCCTGCAAGTAAAATGATGAAATTTTTGTGAGTTGAATCTCTCTGCTTACTCATAAACACCATAACCTGCCTACCAAATGCATGTAGCTTCATCATTTAAGAATATACATGTACTTGAATAAAATGCATTTTGAAGGATATGTTTTTAAGAAACAAATAAATTTCAATTTTAATTCCCTTTTTTTTTTTTCTTCAACTAATGAAAAATCGGAAGGGACAATGGTATGAAAATTTTTTCATACACTAAGAATCATTCATGAAAAATCAAACTGGAAAAAATTGACAAACATGCTATCTTACTGAAATATGAATTAAAATTCAAATATTAATAAAATTAAATGTAAATAAGAATATATTTGGTAATTCCTGTACTCCTAACATCAATGGCCTCTACATGAAATATATATCAAGTTGCCCAAAGAAAAAAAGGGTGTTTGAAAACTGAAAACCCATCATTTAGGATGCATAAAACAGTGGCTTATTCTGTGGATTGTGCATGCATTTTTCTTTGTAACCATTGCCAGTTGAATTGTTGACAAAATACCTGTACATTGTTTAACATTAAAGGTCTATATTTGGAATGCATGGATTGTGTCAAATTGATATGAGAAAGTTTTGAAAATAAAGTAAAAGTACACAACTGAAGTTAAATCATAGTTCCACTATTATCAGAAATATTTTGTACAGTGGGATTAAATCAAACACACCATTTATATTGTGGAATTGAAAGAGAAAAAAAAATCTATGTTGACTGTGACAATAGACTGTTTCACGATTACTACGGTACTGCTCTTTTGCAGGGCAAAATGATATATTTTGGTGAAATATGATGTAAAAGTAATTGTTTAATATATGTCATTTAATAATCTGTCATCAAAAACTTTGCCAAATGTTGTTATTTTGCCCTGCAAAAGAGTAGTACCGTAGTTATCGTGAAAGGGCTAATTCAATTATTCAAGACTCGAAGTAAAAAATAAAAAAAAAACAATGTTACATAACATTGCTAATACTTGTAATGCAATATTTTGTTTTACCTTTGAATGATATTCCTGAAGGTGCATGAAAGTGTTCATAAAGTTTAATACATGAATAAAGTACAATTTGTTCTATTTTTAAGCTCTAGATGCATTTATTACTCTCTTTCTGAGTAAACTGATGTATATATATCATTGAATTTTATTCATTGTTACAAACACACTGTTACTTATAATCTATATTTTCAATTCCCCATCTCTGATAACTGATATGTATGTTTAGCGAAGTAAAATCAACCTTGAGATTTGTAATAAAGTCAACCTTGAAGTAACACAGTAGCAATTTACTGTCCAAGATGCATGATTTAAAACCTAAAATCAACCACTGGAAAGAAAATTCCATTCATCTTTGAAGAACTTAAAGCTAAAATTACAAACACCCACCATATTTGCGCCTGATCTCATCTGTCCTTGACTTCCTTTCTGCTCTCCTGTAAAATAAAATTAACAATGGTCAGTCACAGGTTTTGTTCCTCCTTAATCCCCACAGACAGAGCTTCATCAATGGCAATGTTCAATAGAATGTTCTATTTTTAGAACAATATTGATCTATGAACCCAGTTTAACAATTAAATTCATTCCATGATGCGTTGATAATGCAGCAAAATAAACGGGGCAGATAATTCTACCATATATACCATGAACGCCTCAGATACTAGTACATGTATGTATATGGCAGATTAAGATATACTTGGAGATACAGGGAAAACAAAGGTTGAGAAAATGTGCTGCTATTTTCCATTTTAGGGATTATTTTTTGGTGGAAGGCACATACATTACGTAGAAGCTCAAAAAATTGTAGTTACAATTAATATATTGGTTACTTTAAGTGCAGCTTCAAAGTATATTCTCCAAAATTGTGCCACAGCAGATCCAATCCGTTTTATTACACTGCAACTATATTGTACAGTCAGGGGTGACACTGAAATCCGTCATTTCTGAAAAATGATGGATAATCGTCATACCTAGTAACTTTTTTGACGTATTTTCGTCATTTTTGTCAATATGACTTACTATCGTCATATTTTCTTTTTCTTCTATCCTGGTAACATAAAAGCGAGATTTGAATTCACCGCTGAAAGAAGAGTTTTTATGCAAGTTTCATTTCATCCGGGTCACTAATTACTGCCGACTACGTGCGTTAGAACATCAACATGGAAGGTGAACGTTATTATTTAGCGGTAAAATGTTGAATTTGGTAGAACTAATTCGCCATTTTTACATGGCTTTAAGCCCTATAAAAACATATAGTATATCGTCTGGAAGAATATGTACTTGTAGAGAAAAGTCTTGACAAATAGTTAAAGCCATAAAAAAGTAGTGCGCCCCGTAAAACAAGCGAGATATTTCAGTGCGCCCAGACCCTCCATTTTGAAAAAAGACGGAATATTGTCATTTTCATCTTCTTTCCTATTTAATGCAAATAAATTGACAAGTAACTCTTCCACTCTTATTTTTGCTTGGGAAATTTGTACTGTCAACATTACCAGTATTGTAGTCAACTGTATTAGAGAAATGAAGTTTGTTTACGATGTTTTTTGTCCTTTTTTCGGTTGGTGGATCTAACATTTTTCAAAGAGAGGTAACTCGGTATTCTAGAAACACTCTAAATTTTTATGACTGTTTTTCATCATTTTCTTAAAAATGACAAGTTTAAGTCATAATAAAAATTTTATTTTATGACTAAAAATCGTCATTTTAAAAATGACGGATTTCAGTCTCACCCCTGACTGTTGTACCTACTCTAACTGTGGTCTGAGTCTGACCCAAAGCACAGTTAGATTATTTTGACTAAGGTAATGTTGATACATGTATTACCTTTCATTTGCCTTTTCCTGTCTTTCCTTCTTCTTTCTCTCCCATTTCTCATCTTCCTTGGCATATCTACAATGGTGAAATTACAGACATAATTATCGTGCATACACTTAATTCAAGAACTATGATTAGGCCAGATATATTTAAATCTGAAAATGGGAAGATGAGCTGTTTAATATTTTCAACAAGTTCTGTCAATTGACTAGTTGCTGAGACAACCAACATGTTCATTTCTGTTTCTTCAAATACTGAAAATCACTTTTTAGTTACAAGAACTTCATTTTCACGAAATTACGAGAGACTGTCTGCTCACAAATTTTCATTCTTGTGTATATTGTGTGTATTGTCTCACTTACAAAAACCAAACAACAATCTCAAGAAAATAGGTGTCCCGAAAATTTTGTGATCTAAGGTACAAGTTTGCTGCCCAGTGATCAAAATCAGAAATGCGCTAAGACAAACTGAAGAACAAGTCTAGCAGAAATGAAAACTGTCCAAAATATAGCAAATATATTTGATGCTTGGGCAATCTATAGATGAATAACCATATTGGAAGCTCTGACAAATTGTTCTGGGTTAATAGTTTAATTTCACATGCTAGTTCCTACGACCACTGATGGGCACTCTTCCTAATGATACTACTAAGAGAATAAAAGAAATTAAGGAGGGATTCTTGTCTGGTTTCTGAACTAGATGAAATATTCAAAGTACATTTTCTTATTTGTTTTATATATTTAGATGTAAGAGATTTAAAAGATCATATTTTTCTTTCCTCATCACAATTGCACAACTTTAAATAGAAATGGTAAACTGAGTTTAAAATCTATCAGGCACTATATTTTTGGCGGAATGGCGGCATATGAAAATATCTTCTTTTCTGCCTCTCAAAATTATTATAGAACAATGAATTTAGTTATAATTTTTACACAATCAAAGACTTGAAGAAATTTTTAAATGTAAGTTAAATTAATAATAATGGACTAAAGTTTTAAAATATATCAAATAAATATAATTTTCCAAACAAACTACAATTATGTTAGCTTTTAAAAGCTTCTAATCTAAAAACAGATTTGAGCCAAAATCTGTAAAAACTGTTTTTTCTCTCTTAGTAAATGATCAAAACTTTTTGTTTTTATATCATTTTGTATCTTTATGTGACAACTTTACCATATGTGAAAATAAGAAAAATTTAAATGTAGGATGCATATAAAAATAACTAAAATATCCTAAAATTTTAAGAAAAATAGAGAAAATTCGGATTAGCCAATATCCATTTTAGTAAAATTATTTATGTCAATTTGGTAATATCATCTTACAGACCCTATATGGTAATATCTCTTTATGCAAAAAGAAAAACATTTAATCTTTTGAAATAGAAGTAGGCATCGCATGATTAGCAACAGTAATTTTTTATTCTTAATGTCCAGGGAAAAGGTAATGACCTTGACCTGAACTTGCCTCTAATATAAAACGGTCAAATTTAATCTAACTGATACCATCACTTAATGATATTGTCTTCTTGATTCTGTGAAAATTTCATTGATTTTTAAGTACTAGAAATATGAGAAGAATCCCTCCTTAAGTAAACAAGCTAATTTAATTTTAACCAAATTCTACTCGCTTACTTGTTTTTGTTGTCCTTTTTGCAACAGCAGCAGCAACAAATGCACACTGTAATGGCCAGCACAATAACTCCTCCTATCACTCCCATAGCTATTATCAGGGCCTCAAAATTCACTGTAAAATATAAACAGAATTCAAATTCTCATATTTCTGTGCTTGTGAAGTGACTTACTTCAACTGATGCAGTTACTCCAGAGAGAGAGATAGAGAGAAAGGGCAGAGACTTACCCCAACAAACCCCCCAGCGGGCCTCTGAGAGGGAGCACAGTGAGGACTTAGGAAGAACATCTCCAGTGGGGTATGGTACACATTTGCTGTTGGTTTTACACCACAGACACTGAAAAAAATATTTCATTACAAAAATGTTTTTCTTTAGATACAAACAACTGGGAATTGTTTACAAACAGGGTTTTCTTTTCTAGGTCTTGATATCAAGGACCTGGGCCTTTTCAATTGGGAAAAAAAATAGGGACATTTGCATGAAATTGGGAAAAATGTTGCATACAAAAGTAGGGGAAAAAACCATACCAGTGCACAAAGCAGATACAACTCCTTTTCACTTTCAATTTGAAAAAAAAAAATTAAGTTTACTTAACAATTTTGAGGCAAAAATTGTAATCTGAGGGTCTGTGAAGGATATTTATGAACAAAAAGGCCACCCTGCTTTAATTTTTTTTTCTTCACTTTTTCGGAATTTTAAAGCAGAAATTGGTAAAAAATACCTGCTTTTTAGCATTGGGAATATAGACCCTAAAAAAACCTGCAAAGGTCTTCTTTTTTTAAAAAAGAACTTTCAAATTTGTTTCTACATACATATTTATTAAGATTTTCAAATTTTTTTGAAGATTTCATGAAACACTATAATAATGGTGCATACAGAGTATTTAGTAAATAGATGTTATCTCCCTGAACTGCACCATGAATAGGGTTGTCAAAATAGTGAAAATCTAGTAAATAGTTCAGCATTCAGCAGGTTTTTTTTAGGCATTAATTCTTATTTTACATCTGCCTATAAAGATGTATGTTGAATACAGTACATTTACATACCCTGGCAAATACTTAATGCATTTCTGTTGAAGTTTGTAGGCACTTTAAATAAATTACACCTTGGGAAGGCTGTATAAAACTGGTGTAGGGTATAAACAAGTGAATGTAATTACTGTATCACAACTGCTGTGTAAATGTTAATACATCTCAGCAAACCAAGTGTTTCTGACGATCTGATAAACTCCCTTCTTCACAAACTCTTTGCCTATTATACCATCAAAATTCAAGATGTTTTTGGAGAAGTTAAATTAGAACATAATGTATGCATACCTTTGCATCTTTCAAACAAGTATCACAGCTTGAATTTCGGCTTCTACACACTGAAATTGTAAAATATAACAAAATCATTATTGCAACATAAATAATGAATAAATTTACAATAGTTATGTCCAAAACATAAATTTCTTAAATACATATTACCGGTAAATGTTGTTGAAGAGACCATTACCATAATGTCATGATCAGACATTGTCTTGTTTATATATACAGTATGTCAGAGATAAATAAAAACAACCTCCCTTCCTTTTAATTGGTAGTAATTAACAAAGCTGAGAATCTATATTTTCCATAGACACTAGAAAGTAAATCCACTATAGCCTTTAGACAGGTAATCATGGTAATCTAGAGTTATATACAATGGGAGTTCAGGGAGTTCCATGCTGTACATGTACCAAATTCCAATCAGTCCCTGTGTCTGAGGCTAATAGTCATTCTTCATCGAGAAATGATAAGGAAAACAATTTTTAAAGAATATTTCATACTTAATTCATTATTTCTGAAGAATTAGACTATACGTCTTCAGAATTAGTGACTATTCTACCAGTCTCCTAAACTCCCTTGTATCCAGTATGAAAATCAGTTTGCAATTAACTGATTGAAATTCCGGCCAACATCGATGACAACCTAAACATTCTAAGGTAAACAAATATACAAAACATTTTTCTTAAGAAATCTTTAAAAAAAAAAAAAACAATCCTTCATAAACTGAAACCACATATTTTGTGCCCAAATGTCTTATGTTATTGTCATAAGTCACGGTTTTTTGTGTCCATTCTATTTCCACAAACAGTTTGAGGAAACTGAATGGCCACAAAATAAGCTGTGGCTTCCAATGATGGTCTCGTGTATAAAATCACAGGAGTTCAAAATGTTCATGGTTTTTGGTCAATCAAGTGATTTTTATTTACTTTGTTGATAAAATTTCAAACTCCTGTGTATAAATTGGACATAATACATAAACAACTGCAGAAGGAATGAAACAGGAAATGCATCTTTTATTTATGACATGTGTGATGCTTATTCTCTTTAGAGAAGTGGACAGGCTTTCGCCTACATCCACTTCTCTTCGCAAGCCTTCATGTTTTGATTCTGGAAAACGTGTAAATCTCGAACCGGTGACGGTCTACACTTCAACTGACATTTCGTCTAAAATACGTCTGAATGTACATAATAGACGTGTTATCTTAACAATTTTAACATAAATACACACAACTGTCACAAGAAAACTGACCTATAAGTACTGTTAATCCATTTTCACAAGTTCTCCATCCCAGATTTAAACTAATGTTTATCTACCACAGCTTATTAGAAAAAATTGAAAATTTTAAATCGGTTAATTTGGAAAAATTGGCGAAGACTTATTTTAATGTTCAAAAAAAGATTTGGACAATTCACTTTTGATTTAGCATATTATTCAAAATTAATATTATTACCTTTACTTATTTTTACTATTTTAATACAATTTAAATGTAAATTTGAGCTTAAAAAATACTTCATACTTCCTCACTGACAATACTAAAAATATTTTCTTTTATTTTTAAACGATATTAACTCTACCTTTCCCGAGAAATGAAAAAAAGATTCAAAACAAAGATCAAAAGAATTTGAACGAAACTTGAGGAAATACTGTCTCGTTAATTTAAACAGAGTAGACGATTTCTCTCGTTTCATTATTATTTTGTAAAAATAGTTTCCATTTTTATCCGAATTAGAGATTTTTGAATACTTCAAGAGTTACTTGCACATAATTTAAATCCGGGATGGAGAACTTGTGAAAATGGATTAACAATACTTAAAGGTCAGTTTTCTTGTGACAATTGTGTGTATTTATGTTAAAATTGATAAGATAACACGTCTATTACGTACATTCAGACGTATTTTAGACGAATTGTCAGTTGAAGTGTAGACTGTCACCGGTTCGAGATTTACACGTTTTCCAGAATCAAAACATGAAGGCTTGCGAAGAGAAGTGGATGTAGGCGAAAGCCTGTCCACTTCTCTAAAGAGAATAGTGTGATGCTATCTCTGATCAACAGTGCAAATCATATCAATTAACAATAAATCCGAAAATTTTCACTGAATTCACGTGATTTTACCTTCCTCCAGTGTCGGCGTTGTGACTGGGGCACCACTGGTGGTGGGGATTGGTCGGGGGGTGGCGGTTGGTTTTTCAGTGGTAGGGGCTACACTCGTATTGTTTGCTGCTGACACTATGCCGATGACTAATAATGTCAAAACTAACACCATATTTTCTCTTAACATCATGACTTTTTTCTCAGATGAACAATGAAATCAGAAATTTTTTCTTTCTCAGTCTCTGGCTTTTGACGTCTTCTCTAAAAATCAACAATATGAGTAAAGATCACAACTTCCGGCTGTGTGTTCCATTCGCAGGGCGAATAAGAAAATAGTTCTCAAAAAAAGAAATGTTGCCATCAAATAGAATGACTCTTTTTTTCCTTTTTCGAAGAAGCTTTATATTGATCGTTGCATTATCTGTATTTTAAGACAAAGCTGGTTAAATTTAGGCGTATGAATATTTCACATGGCAAATCCTTCTTTCACTTCCGGTTTAAACTTTCAATTGTGCTATTTCATACCGACGGCAAGTGGTTGATAGACCATTGCCTTTGGGTAGGTGAATTGAATGATTTTTTCTTTGTGTAATATCTGAAAAATATTTTAATTATTTAATGATTAAACGGTATACAAAATGTACTTTCCTCAATCCATTTATACAAATAATTTCACCTGCATTTGAAAAGGGGGGGGGGGGGCAAGCATGTGTGGAATTCGAGACAATGTTACCCTTATAAACAGATAAGCTGACCGTCGTTAACCTTCAATTAGCTAGATATATATATTTTGGATGTTTATTTATTTCTTGGTCATATATAGTCTGTCTTGTTTATATTGTGAGGTGACATGTGATGTTGGCTATTGTCATTTCAGTGAACAGGGTTTATAATAATGTGTCACAGGCATTTGTTTCTGTAATAAATTTTTAACCCATAGTATGATAATAATACAAGGTATCCAACTCCGTATTACATGGAGTACCCCCCTCCCTCAGAATAGCACTCATTTACAATTTCATAGGACATGCACTGGCAAACTGTTTATACTTATGTTTTCTACGATAATTTATCTACACAACCATATATGGCATGCATGTCTTTATTTTCTTTTATCCCCGTAAACAGCGTCAAAACTCTGCTCGCCGATTGGAAAAGTCAAAGTCAACCATGAAATGTTATGTGCTAATCCAGGGCAGTCTCGATTCTGATTGGCTAAAAATCTGTTTTTAAAATTACATCGAAAAAATATCGTAGTGCTTTAATGGAAAATGAGAGGTAAACAAATTTTATTTATTCACTGCAATATTTAAACACTGGAATTGAATTTTTTAACTCACTCATTTTTTAATTTTGCTCTCTGCCCTGGATTAGCACATACCATTTCATGGTTGAGTTCGACTTTTCCAACTTGTGCAAAACTTTTTCTAGAAAATTGGTCATTTGGACTGACAGGAAATAAAAGTAAAACAATATAAAAATTTAACAAAGACACTAGATCTATCTTTTGGGGGGACATCGCCCAAATGGGATGTTAGCCCATTTGGGATATAATATCCCAAATGGGATGTAAATTTACAGTGCAAAAATGAGGAATTTACTTTTGGCCAAACGGAGTGCAAATTCATATAAATATAAATTGAATCATAATGCAAAAACTTTTGCAAGCAAATTTCTAGCTCACCTGAGCTGGACCTGAATTCCAGGTTAGAGTTGGCTAAAATCAGGATCAAGTTTTACATAATGCATGGTTACAGGAAAAGAATTTTCTCCTCCATAACTGCAAGGCCGTGTTAGTTATATTGACACTGAAACATTCCCATGATGGGTGGATTCAAAGACCCAGAGTTAGGTAGGGGCCATAATATGGGGTCACAATTCTTCAAGGGGGCCGGAGTTTAAAATTCTTTTAAAAATCTGATGAAGAAGAGCAGAGCTAAAGTAACCTGGTGAGCGCTGTGGCCCACGAACCTCTTGTTTTATTATACTTCCCTTAAAATGTTTCCTTTATAAAGTTAAGATGGTAAAATAGCTGTTTTGTTTATAGTCTGAAAATGTTCACATATAGCAAAGCTATATACCCCAGGGTATAGTTTGTGCTATCCATCCCTCGGAAAATTTTCATTCAAATTTTGATGCCAGTTGTAATTTCCTTCAATTGTGCTATTCAAACCTCACAAATTATAATAGAAAGTATAATAAAATGCCTGTCCACTGGCTGTGAGTGGGATAGCTCTTTCATTGAACCCTTGACAGGAACTAGTGTATGTATTCCCTTTCAGGCAAGCCCTTGGGGAATGGTTTCATAAAAGAGCTATCCCCCTCACAGCTAGTTGATAATTGCATACTATAACCCAATTGCAAGTTTGATCCCCAAGAAACTTGCAGATCTTCAGAAGGATCATCTCCTAAAGGGGGATACAGAAAATCTTGTTAACCAAAAGTTATTGCTGATGCGGAGTTATGTTTTAAAGTAGCTAAATGAAAAATATTAATTTTTTGCAGTGTAAATTTATATCCCCTATGAAATATTATATCTCAAACAGGATATCGTATTGGATTTTGGCAGTTGGTCCCAGCCTGTTTAATACAATTAGCGATTTTTTTCTACCCATTGGGAAAGGGTTCGGTACTGGTTCTATTGGGGAAAAATAGCATCGAAGTAGAACCAAGGAGAATTTTCTGTCATTTAAACAAATGAAACGTATTTTGTGTTTATTTCAACCTCATTACCTATTACACCATGTTTTAAAGAATAAACAAGAAGTATTTATTGTTTTTCATATCGATGTCCCTTGTTTTCGCATTTTCATGCTTTCAATCTGTAAAAATGTATGACACTACACTGTCTTCACCACAGGTCCTGCCATATATTACGACTAATTTCTTCTTTCGATTTAAGCGGAAGTGAAACAATTAGTCAACTTGAAAATGTTTCATATAAAAAGAAATACGATTTTGTCGTAGTCTGTTGCTTGGCAGTTGAATTGGGAATTTTTAGTCTCAAAATTGGGAAAAATTATCCTGTTTTGGCATTGGGAATGGTACCGTTTATCGGTACCAGTTATAGAAGGAAAAAAACGCTGACAGTGTATCTTCAGTTCATACTTCATAACGTATGCATGGACTATCTTCCTCATTCTATTAAACATTCTGTTCAGATCTTCATCATTGTCTACCTCACTTCTGAAAATGACATGCAGCAGTTGCATGCTTAACAACAGCATTATCAGTTGTATGTACCCATGAACCTCTATCAGAATTTCATTTTCAGACCAACAGACTTCATGTACTTATTAAGGAATTTCTATGATCTGTTCTTGAAGAGTTGAAGAAAGTCCTGCAGTGAAGTCCTGCTTGTGGTTCCTTAGTACATAACTCATGCTAATGTTGTCAATACAAGTGCTGCAAGCAATCTTAGTCTCAGCTATTCTCATCCCTCTGTCCGATTCTCTTTAAATTTCCTCTTGTTACAGTGTTTCGGCTAACTTTGAAAACTACTGTCTGGGGTAGTGGTGAAACGGTTCACCGTGGTATCGATTCACCGCTGTATTTTTTCTCGGTTTGATACACGGTACAAAAATCTCTATTTTCGGTTCAGTTCATTTTTTGATCAGGATTGTTATTCGGTAAGGTTTGGTATATTAAGTAAAAACGTGCTACTCGGCATAATTTAATTTTAAAAACCTAAATTTTTGAGGACTGGTAGTGTGTAAAATAATCTTGAACAGTCAAATCATTCTAATTAATTTCTTCTAGTCAATTTGCACGTAGACTTATGACAGGATTTGGTGAAACAAAGCATAAAACAATTAACGTTGAATTTGTGTCTTTCTATCAAAATGTATCATATCGAAAATAACCGTACAGAGACAAAATTATACGATAGGTATCGTATCATGAAGCAGGAATATTGTTTCACCCCTAGTCTTGGGGTCATGTTGACCCTTTGAAATATTTTTGTGAGTCAGAGGGAATTTAGCGGGTCTAAATGAATTCTAGTTTTGCGTCATAATGAAAGTAAAAAAAAAATATGTACATTGTTTTACTGTTTTCATGTCTCTCAATGCCTGACTTCTGCGAATTGTTTGAACCTATTAATTTTTTTGTCTTCTACTTGTCTACTACCTTGTTGACTTTTATTATTACCATCTTAAGCATTTCTGATAAAGCCAAGCTGAAGTTATTGTTTTTATTTGGACTAATGGTTTTGTTAAGATTGAATAGATTGTTCGAAATATTTTAAAGCTTGAATGATATTTTAGGGAGTCATTTTTGACACAGAGATTTTTTTTTCAGGTGATATTTTAATATTATTATGCATAATTTATGCACATTTATACGTTATCGGAATCATTGTCATATATTTAATTTTTGTTTTTAGCTTGCTTTTGCACATGCAGGGTCACTCATTAGCCATGCTGTTTTCACTTTTGCAGCCTCAGCCTTCTTTCAGGGAATGAGAATAATGCAGTCAAATTTTTATGTGTCAAGTTAATGAAATGTGAAGAGATAACGAACAGTGATCATTCGCATTCTCGAAAGTCAATTTAAACTATACAAATTATGATCAGAGCTAACACAGACCTCTGAAGACAGGTGGAATCATTTGACATGGAGGATTAAGCAACCCCTGCTGTGTGATCCTTGTCATGATTGGGTAAATGGAAAAAATCAGTAGTCGATTCATTGTGAAAGTAATGGCCTAAATTTGTATGAAAGACGTAAGTCAACATTCAACCCAATGACAGATTGTGTTTGAGTACAAGGTCATTGCATCATTTCAGATGTTAAATCACATAGACTTTGAATTTGCTGCTGGGTCAATACTTAATAAAGTTGTTGATATCAAAGGATATCAAATATTTTTTAATGATAGCCTTATTTCGTTTGTTCCTTAGGTCATTCTGTAAACACATTGCACTGTATCTTAATATTTTGCAGGATTTTAACAAAATGGTGAAGAATATGGATGTTGAGATGAAGGACACTTCAAGTCCTAAGAAGAGTACAGAGAAATCTGAAGCCTCTAATGGAGTAACTGAAGAGCCAAAAAAGGACCCTGACCTCTTGACCTTAGAGGACATCAGAGAGCATGTACGCCACATAGAAAAGGCTGTGGCTACAAAGGAACCACGGTATATATCTCGTGTCATCCGTGGTTTGGTATCTGTCAGACGTCGTTTGAATCCTGTTGTTCTTCGGAAACTTTTGCAAGGTTATTTAAATTCTCAGGTTGCTCTGAAAGAGGAATT